GAAATATACAGTTTTTCCCTAAGATAGACAATTTCCGTTGCACCAATTGAATTCCGTTGTATCTTACTGTTAATAATGATGGGCAGAAACTACCTTGCTTAGTAGGCAGAAATTGCTGAAATTAATTGACATAAACTTTGGCGAAACTAATTTAATGGCTGAAATTGGGAAATTGTTTTTTTTTAAAAATAGTGTTTAAATTTTGGGGTGGGGTGTTTGGATACAAATTCTGATTGGCTAATTGAATTTCACGTGCGTGAATTTCAAATTCAAAATCTTTTCCACAAGACAATAATGAGTTTCACCTTGTCTAAAAATTGGCAGTCTAATAAATAATTTAAGAACAACCAGAAGTTTTCACAGGCTCATTATTTACCATAATTCGAATTTGTCAAGAATAGAAGTCATGTTCGCCATTTTAGTATGACTCAGATTATCAGGAAAGAAGCAACTAAGCCTGACATCAAAATACCTTCATTTAGTGAATCAGCCTCAAAATTTGCTTCCGTTGAAGAGGAATCATTGAGAATTAAAGTTTACAAGAAAGATTCAATGCGTGATATATTAGAAGCAGGTAATAAAATTTGTGTTTAATAATTTAATATTTTATCATCGCCATCTAAACAAAGCTAATCCTTCGATATTTAAAAAAGATATTGATCATAACATTATTCCAGAACTTCGAGATTATATCCTCGCGGAAATTAAAGATAGTGAATATGTGAAATGTTTCAGTGCTCTTAATTATCCAAGCTTAAATAACAATCAAAAGAAGTTTCTTGGTAAACTCAACCGCATACTTATGAATGAGAATGTTCGAAAAGGTTTTGAGAAATATGTAGATGAATTTGTGTTATTTTTGTGTGATCAAGCAAATTTTGATGATGGAGTGGATTTAATCATGGAACCATGCACTTTAGAATTAAAAAGAAATTGCAGCATATGCCAATAGAGAAGGCCGAAGAGGCGCTGAAATAGTATGGGTGTTGTGTGAAGCTAAACATAAAGGATCCAGAAAATATAAAAAAGGGAAAACTCAGTTAGTGGCATGCTTATTGCAGCAGCTCAATGGAATTATTCCATGTTGGACAAAGTATATCCAGCAAAAATTGTGAGTATTAGAGTAATTGGAGGCAAGTTTTGTTTTTATTCAGCTAATATCAATCAATCTTACCTCGAAGATCTGCTGAGAGGTCTTCCCCGAAATGATTTACATGTTCACAAATATCCCAAAGGTATGGATTTTGTATTTCAAATGCTAATGAAAGACGAGAGGTGCTTGCATGTTTATCTGATCTCAAACATTATGCATTAAGTCTTTCACCAAAGTTGGATAAATATTCTGAAAAGAATTTAATGTGGCTAGCTCTTTTTGACGGTTTGTAATTTTTATAATTACCTTTAGGATATTACTATCAATAAAATAGACTCTTTGTCTATCATGATCACATTGTTCATTGTGTGTTTGAAGTGCTTATATCATTGAAATTAATAAAGTTTTCACCAAAATTGGGTTTTGAGTTTTTAAGAATATGTAGGTTTGTATGTGGTGTAATGTGTGTGATATGTGGTATATGCATTGATATGGAGGGTGATAACAGTTACTTGTAGAAGATATTAAAGAACACTTCAACAAACCTGAGAAAAAACATATTCACATTACTGTATTGTCAAACCGCCTGGTTCCTCTGGTGTGTTTGTAAGAGAATCTCACAAGGCATTACAAACCAAGTATTGAGCAGAAAAACAGAACTGCGTTTGAACAATATTTTTCTACTGATTATACAAATTATCATTATGTGAAGTTGGTGAATGGAAGTTGTAAAAGAGATCATAACAATAAAACTACATTTTTGTGATTTTGACCAATTTGCATTCCATACATCCATCTATTGGTGTGTTTTTATACTATTTGCGACCTTGACCAACTTTGGCTTTTTTATTTCTTTTATTTCTTTCCATTGGCATCAAATTAGTTAAGATTCCTCATATCTTTCACAAGTTACAATCACTGAAATTCATGAAATGCTCCGTTTCAAATAAAAAGCAACCTGGTACCATCAAGCAGTAGTACAAGCAAAATTTTTCTTACAGAATAAGGACACTTATGTGTCTGACTTGGTAGAACGTAAAAGCACGATTTGATCCAGTAATACATCAAAGTGTGAAATTTTTCGATCCAGTAATATGCAAAGGTAATATATCAAAATGTGAAATATTTCAATTCAGTAATACGTCCAATTTTTTATATGACAATACATCAAAGCATAGGTCGAATGACACAAAGTGGTAGCACCGAAAGCATCAACTATGCATGAAGTGTACCAGAACTGCAAAACATAGCGTAATTTTGGTATGCTTTGACGTATTACCAAGTGAAGATAACAATTCGGCATTACGTGCTTCATCCTCAATCAGTCTTCGAATGCATCACGCAAAGTCAGATCACGTATACTATTTCAGCACTATGTGTTTCATCCTTCAATCTAATGTGACGTGCAAAGCTAAAATACAGATTACCATTTTGACACTATGTTCCTCATTCTCGAATTTAACATACAAGGCCAAATAACGGATTGCCAATTCGACACTTTGTGCCTCAAGCCTCGCAATCGAAAAAATTGGCTAATCGTCTAGGAAATGTGGTAAAGGAAATGTGCGTTTTTTTTTGCGAGTTGGTTTTTCGGTGCAAAGTAGGTTTTTGCGTTAATTTATTAGACTACTCGATTCAATGATAATCATGTAGTTTTCTGCCAAAACTCATCTGCCAATTTGAATTCCTATGAGAATATTTGACATCCGCCAAAATTAAAATGTCCGAAATTAATAATCATTTAACAAAGAAAACAAAATGACTCAAAAGAAGTTCTTGGGTAAGTGTCATTTATCATATGAGTGGTTGTTGCCATCACTCTAGTTAAATGATTATTAATTTCGGATATTTTAATTTTGGCGGATGTCGAATATTCTCATGGGAATTCAAATTGGAGGATGAATTTTAGCGGAAAACTACACAATTATGATTCAATGTACGAGTTGGTTACGAAATAGTCTAATTTATGAAGAATAGACCTTTTAAGGTCCATAGAGGGCTTGCAATTACAAATTTCTTTTTTTTTTATGATATAAAATAAAGAGCTGGTCCATTGGTGTAACATTTTAACCATATTTAGTATTTTATCAATCAAAATTGATCATACCAAAACTCACTTTGGTCTCAATGGACCTGGTCTATCGCCAATCCTGATAATTTATCTGTTGCTCTTTTTACAAAAGAATTAATTTTTGAATTCTACTTTTACTTTAATATTAAACTCCTGAAATGAATTATTTGAATGGGTTATGTTTATTTTACTTGTATTTCAATGAATTTCTAAAATTAATTTTGGCATTCACGCCTACAAATACAGTTTGGGGACATAACGCTGTTCTTGCTGATTCTAAAATATACTTTACAGGTGGACTGATTCCAAATCCAACAGATTGGAAGACTCTTCGTAATTTTCATAGTTATGCTACACAATCTAAAGAGTTTTATTATTTAGATGTATCAAAACATTTTAAATTAAATGAGGGTGTAATGCCTTGGGTGGATCTTAGTTCTGTGTCAGGAATTCCTCCATCACATTCTTGGAGCTCATTTTCACTTTGTGGACCTGATACTTTAGTGATGTTTGGTGGAGATTTTGGTTCTACACATATCAGCAATTCAGTTTTCATTTATGATATCAAAACACAGAAATGGAACAACCCAACAACTACCAATCAACCTTATAATAAATTTAGTCGTTCTGTTTGTGACTTGAAGACTGGAAAAATGTATATATTTCCTGATCGTTACTATGGAAATCTGATGATTAACATTTTGGATACAATAACATTAACATGGAGAGTTTTTTCTAATTATGATTATTTCACACATGGAATACTTGATTATACTGTCACTTTATTACCAAATGGTAACATTGCTTATATAGGAGGTATTGATCATCATAATTCACCAGCAACGAGGATGTCAAAGGTAATAATGAAATAAATCATGACAAAATAAACAAAATCATGTGACCATCTTTCTTTTTCTAAAACAG